AGGTCTGGACAGTAAAATAAGATTAATTGAATATTTAGTAAAGAAATTAACATATATCAAATTATATAGATTTCACTTAATATATATTATATTAACATCATTATCCTTTTTTTTTTAGTTTTAAAGTCATGCCAACCACCAACCCATTTTTAAAATTTCTACAGAAGTTTAGAGCTGAAAATCGTCATCTCAGCAGTGTAGAAATAGCCAAGCGTGGTGGAGCTAGTGGCGTAAGATGAGTGCTAGAAAAACTCAAATATGCACCGTCTGGTTCAGGACGTTTGTCACGCATCGCACGTCAATCCCGTGTTAATCGTAGTAATACACTTCGAATTAAGAAACACCTTACCAGTCGCATATCTGCCAAAAAGAAACCAAGAAAACAACGGCGTGTTCAGTCAAAAGTAAAGATACATCCGTTGCACCTGAAACACTCCAGCAAACGCTCAACCACATGGTTAGGCGCCAGTAAGTATAACTTACTATACTTATAGTTATATATATATAACGCTTTAAGTAAAAAAAAGTTCAACGATTTTTAATGATGATTTCATTTCAAGTGTGGGACCAACTTATGCGTATCTTCTCTTGGAACGAGGAGAATACAGAGGAGACTTAACTAAACGATATACATCTTTTTTATTTTTATATAACAGACTACACTTACACAGGTAAATATAAATTAAAATTGACTTTCTTGGGAAGTTTCAAACTACTTGGACCCCAGTAATAGCAGTTTAAGTTATTTAAATTATTTGTTTAAATAAATTTTTTTTTAACACTTTTGTCATATTTAGATGGTTCTTCCAACAACACTAATACACTCTCCTACTCCTCCTACGCTCCTACTACTACCCAACCAACTATATTCAATTACCTTCTCTAAGTACAACACCTGGAATGACGGATGCAATCAAACTTGATACTGTAATTTATAGAAGTGAGTTAACTAACCGAATAACCCATTGATTTAGTGACATTATGTTAAAAGTATTTATAGTCATTATATATCTTAGAAAAGTGTACCAATGAATTTACTGAAGCTACCAAATGCTCCTGAACTTTCTGTAAGTACCAATATGTATTAATAGCTTATCGAGCAATACCATTATAAAATTATCGACTTTTAGGTCTGACTGAATCAACCAATACTATTTATAAAGTTACTTTACGTCCTGAGATTTTTTACCACCGAAAAACCACAAAAACTAATGTATTTTTAAAAAACTTCTATTAACGCTGGATAAGTAAGTTAACAAACCGAATAATCTATTAAAGTATAAAGTACTCATAAATATTCCATAGAATAATGCACATTGATGGCTGAGATAAGGGTTAACACGTGTTATATCCTGTAAACTACAAGTAAGTTGACTAACCAACCAAAATTTAACATATAAACTTCTTAGATTGAGAACCACTGATATTGTTTTTGTTATTGTTTATATATATTTTTATATATATATTTTTTTATATATATTTTTTCGATGCTATTACCAGTGATAAGCCACCACTGTGACCGCATTTTGTCATTGTACAATTCAGTACAGTATACCTACATTTAGTATATTCAGTACACATGACTTTGTAACCATGATTTAGTTAACATATGAGGGCATGACAGCGACAAAGTTCCAGTTTAGTTAAGAGACTGGAGGTTTGAGCACAACTTATACCTATAAGTTAGTCCCCTTCGAGTCTAGCGAACGGAAACCAGCTCATCTGTAGCATCACAACAAACCTGTATGTGTAATTAAATTACCTTTATTTCATAAGGCAACCACTCTGACCTAACCTAACCTGACCAACCAATAAATCTCTTTATTACACACAGTCTTTATATCATTAAACCATATTATCTTTTTTGAAGGATACATACTGGATAAATATGTGTACCGTAAAATTTTCCATAAATTTATGTGATGCATGGACCAAAATTATACTTTGTGACTTACATGTAAGTTATATCATCGTATAGTTTATATAATAATGTGCATCAAAAGTATTTTTACAAATATATTTCTCAGGATATTGGTACGATGACTGTAACTAAATTATCTACCAATATATTCTGGATTTATTTATGCTGAAATTGACATGTAAGTTAATTGATTATTAGTTACAATCAAAACCTATTTTAATGTTGATAACTGTTCTCTAGAAAAATTAATAGTAGAGACTACCAAATTATTAAGGTCCAGTATATATGGACCTGGCTTCTTTTATTAAGAAATATTGCATACCTATATAATGAATAATATGTAAGTTATGGTACTATATTTTACTTTTATTTAAATAAGAAACCACAAAATAATATCTTTTCAGATTTTATAACAGAGTACTTTCATTCAATCCCGTAAACCATATTTTTGATGCAAGAAAATTCTTAACTCTTTTTGTACAAAATTAAAAATAAATAAAAAATCTATGACATTTTTTTTTAGTAATTTATGTGTTCCGAATTTATTTATTTATGAAGATTTATTTATCTTCATAAGATAAAAAAGTTTATGTCTGAGGTGCCTGATTAATACTGCCTGATTGATTCGTCCTTTCAACTACATATAGACACACATAGAACTACATATATAAAAACAGAATAAAATCGGGTGTTAGTGGTAGATTAATTAATTTTCCATTTCTCAACAATGGAAAAAGTGTCTTGCTTGAGGTATAATGATTTCTCCTCCCTAACAAAAATTTCTCAGTGGTCACTCTTGGGTTAGCACTAAGCGAATGGACAATTCCTATTGAATTGCTCACTGACCTTCAGAAGCAATCTATCTTATTGATGCAAAACAAGTGTTATACTTTAATAACGGATTTTATATAAAATTTTGCTGAATATTTTTTAAAAAGATTTTCAAACAGTAGTTACCTACAACAACAAAAATTATTTTTATATTATTTTAATTAATTGAATTTTTGCCTGAACATACAGCTGTTTGGAAATAGTTTTTGTATTTAATTATTCATGAATAATTTTTTGAGACTGCAAGTACCAGGAATCCAACTAGTGCCCTGTCAAATTTGAAGCTCAGAGTCAGCGCTCCTTAACCAAGTGACCCAAAACCGCACTTGACTTTTATGTTCGCACATTTATTTGGAGTTTTTGTTAATTTGCTATGAAATTTTTATTAACAAATTCACTTGTGTTTATATTTTATGTTAATGTATAAGTAAATATTTAATTAATATTTTATTCATTTTATCAACATTTTATTACATTTAATTTAATTAAAATTTAAATATAAATAAATTCCTTAACTTCAAAACCCCTTTCAAAAATGCAATCTGTGATTGACCAATGCCATTCATGGAGAAAGAAAAACACATCGATTACCTTCGATGTAGTCCCGTTTATAGACCCTGCAGTTTTCCTATTTATTTTCTTCTCAATTCCCAACAAAAATGAAATTATGTGAGCTACAGTAAAACTTAAATAAAACAAAATCCAATGGTCAAAAAAGAACAAACAAAAGCTAGAATCGTTTAGCTTGATTTCATCATTCCTGAATGTTTATTTTATTGCTCAGAAAATGACGCCAACGTGGCCAAGAAACGTGCACCACAGCCGTAACAGCACCCCAAGTCGTTAACAAGCTCAATCCAAAAGGCAACCGAAGGACGAGCGCTGTTTAGGTTGATGCGCACTTGGCAAGTGTGTTTCAATGTGGCGGAAGGATGTCCGTAAAATGGCTGCTGTAGTTGCCATTTAATAGTTTTGGGTTTTTGAATTTTGGGTTGAATTGTGTCGAATGTTGGAAATTTCGTACGCAATAAAATTCAAATGAATTGCGATAAAAATCAAATTTTGTTGGACATTTTCGTTATTTTTTATTGTATTTCATTTTATTTTTTTTTTTTTTTGTTCTACGTATTTTTATTTTTCATGTGATCCGTTTGTAAAGGACAACTACACTGCACGTTTCTTTTGTAATTATAAGTATACCGTATTGCCTTTTTACTTCCAGAACTTTTTTATTAAACGTACAAGTATTTGAATGTCTTGACCACCCTTTTTTTTGAAAATCTCACCACTTTTCATGGCCCAACTTTGAATGTCCCATTGCGGCTGTTTTGGTTACAATGTGGTTCGGTTCAGTTAGAAATATTTGAGTTTGTTTTATGTTTATTTAAATTTATAGCCAATTGATATAAGTTGCTTTTTAAACTCATCCAGGGAAGATAATTCCAGATGTATCCACTGTGACGTATGCTCTTATGCATTCTCAAAATTTAATTAATGCGAAATTAATGTATAAAATTTCAATAAGATTAATTTGGTGGTGTATGTAGATAAATTAAATATTCCAGAGTCCATAGAAAAATATATCTATTTAATGAATTTTACACATTATTCATAGGTCTGCTTACACAACGATTAAAACCTTGAACCTGCAAACTGATGTAGATAGTAAAAAATTGATGTTTAGTTCATCACACAATCCATAAAATATTTTTATTGTTACTTCTTACACAACTCTTGACATAACTTATATATCTATTAAAGGACTCTGAAATTTTTGCAAATTTCTAATTTCTTGTAACTAAAAACAAAGCAAGAAAAAAGTGAAAAACCATCATATAAAACCATGATTATATTAAAAATAATTCTTAGGAATCAGTCTAGATGTATCACATTCCTGCACTTATAAACTTTTTCCACTAAATTATACAAAAGTGCTACATTGCGGCACTTTCGAATGTACCAAGTATGATCATCCCTATGTATGGCTTTCTATTTTAATTATTGCTTACTATTTTAATTCCTTATATTTAATTATTGTTTTGATTTTTATTATTGTTGAAAATAATTTTTGTAGTTATTACTAGGACTTTAGCCATATTCTTGAAGTCAATTCATTCTAAATCAGATTGAGAATGCTGAGTAGGAGTTCCTATTCATTTAAAGGAAAATTCAAAAACTGTTTGCTGTTTTATAAAGATCCATTATTCTTCGTCGAGTTAAGTGCTCCGCTGCACTAGGAGCCCAAAACCCTGTTTTCTAGTATCAGTAAAAATTTTATAAAGTGTATATATTTCATGACCAATTTACACAAGTCGTTTTCAAAAATGATATTATTTATGGATTTATCCATTCACAGATATCCATTTTAAAAATAATTTTTCCAAATCTTATTTCCTAGTTTCTTCTTAGAATTGCAACCATTGTGGTTTGAGTACAAAACGGTTTTTTGTTTTTTTTCAAAAACTAACCCGTATCAAAATACATCATTTTCTTCTCTCTAAAAAACGAGTACATCAATGAGGTCTTCAGTAATTCTTAATTACATATCATAATTTAAAATATATAAAAGTATTCAAATAAATTCTGTATCCTCAAATATCGGCAAGTAAAAAAGTACTGGCGCAGCTTGAAATAAACCAGTGATGTACGTGTCTGGTACCAATTTTATGAAATTTACTCTTATTTCCATAAACTTGTATAGAGACAGTGTAGTAATACAAAGAATAAATGTCATACAACATGGATGCATACATGGATGAAAAGTCTCAACAAATTTCCTACTAATCATTTGCCAAAAGATAAGCAAAATGGCAAAACAGTAGGAAATCTTCAATTCGCTCCGAAATGGGTGCCAGTATGATTCCAATTCCAATGCTGTGCTGAGCAAAAGCGTTGTTGTTACCGAATACAGAGACAATTAAAACATCATCAGATAGTAATAATAGATTTCTGCACTTGGCATAACTATTTGACAAGCCAAATAAAGACTCATAAAAGAAGAGACAGAAAAAAAAAACTGGTGACATAAGAGCAAAAGGATAACAACAGGACATTAATACTTACTTTAATGCCTGTCTGTGTGAAAAAAATAAAAAAAAACCTAAAATGTAAAATAAATTTATATCTTTTGTTTCAGTTAGTCTATTTTGATAATTTTGGGAAGCGTCTACTCTAGTCGGCATCGATACAAAGTCAAATCAGGCTCAACGACTTGTTTTATCTTTGGGATTTGTTGTATATCACGCACCAACATCAAGTGACATGCGGACAACTCAATTAAAATTCCAGGAAAAAATCAGAGCATAGTTATGGTACTTTCCTTCTCAATGTCGGGTTTTACTAGGCTGCTGAGATCGTGTGCATAGATTTGAGGCGGTTTTGTGGTTTTGATGTTTGGTTTAATTTTCTGCCTTCAAAAATGAAACTGAAATTGTATCTACAATTAAATGAATTTTTTGTTGATATAGTGTCGGTGTTAATCCATAAAATTGATGATTATGTTAAGGTAGCAACAATAAATTCTTGTTAAAGAGCCACCACAGCAGCTCGAAAGTGAAGTGTTCAGGATAAGTACTGGAAAAAATGTCACAAGAGAAGCATAAATATTTTTTGATAAAAAATCGGAATAGGATTTAGGAACCAATATTGTAAATTATTTTGCGCAAGAATTCTTTTCTGAAATTTTTAAGCTACTGAATATCGCAATGAATCTACTTTTTAAAGTCTCAAATGTGTCTTGTCTTATTTCGACAACATAAATGAGACTACATTAACTACTACTTAATGCTTTTCGTAAAGTCTGTAGTTCATATTTTCACCAAGTTACCAATTATATCTGTTACGTTTTCCAAATAAAGCCATAAGCAAATGTATCTTTTAGTATAAAAAAAAATTGGCAGCCCATAACATATTTTCCAAAGTAAGTAATTTAGTAAGTAGCTTACCAGATTAAAGTACATATTTTGTTGTGTGCCAGCGCTTAGATTCTGACACTTTATTTCATCACTCATCCCCACTCTTAACTCCTATATTCGACAATTTTTTTTTGTTTTTGAACTTAAACTCAAAGCTTGGCACATTTTTTTATCCAACTCACTCTTGCTTCCCTTGTGATGTTGATTGTCCACACCACCTTTGCCATTGTGGCCTGACTCATGTGGGCATCCAACCAACCAACCAACCAACTAGCCAGACCAGCTAACCAACCAAGCATGCATCCATCTATGCATTTCATAGGATAAAGTAAATCTCCCAACTGACGTTGTGCAATGTGTATAATATTTTCTCAGGATAAGCATCTACCATATTTTTTATTCACTTAAGCTTAATTTTTCTATGCACACGTCCAGTCCGCATGTTGTACACCCACATGTGCCCTGCTCGCACGAATGTGAATGGTCAGTTGATTCACTTGATTCAGTTGACTTGAGTTCTTGAGTGCACTGGTTACGGATTTACGAATTTTACGTGTGACATCCTTTGCCATTTTTTAGCATTTCTCCTCTCATACAATGAATTTTATTTTATTTTTTACTTTTTAGTCCTTTTAACAAATTTTTTAATTTACTATCACATTTTTCCTTTTTATGTATGGTCAAAGTAGCACATCAGAGGCCATAGAATTCCTTTCGTTTTTTTTCAGTTGATCTATGTTCCATCGAATCTGTATCCATAGATTTGTATGTTGAATATAGG